CATACAAGTCCAGGAAGCACAGAAAGTTCCAAACAAGTTGGACCCAAAGAGGACCACACCAAGACACATCATAATTAAAATGCCAAAGGTTAAAGATAAAGAGAGAATCTTAAAAGCAGCAAGAGGAAAGCAGAGAGTTACTCACAAAGGAGTTCCCGTAAGACTATCAGCTGATTTCTCAAGAGAAACTTTTCAGGCAAGAAGGGACTGGCCAGAAGTATTCAAAGTGATGAAAAGCAAGAACCTACAACCTAGATTGCTCTATCCAGCAAAGCTGTCATTTAGAATGGAAGGGCAGATAAGGCGCTTCCCAGACAAGGTAAAACTAAAAGAGTTCATCATCACCAAGCCATTCTTACATGAAATGTTAAAGGGTCTTATTTAAGGAAAAAAAAGTCAAAACTATGAACATTAAAATAGCAACAAATGTACAACTATCAACAACTGAATCCAAAAAAGCATACTAAGCAAACAGCTAGAACAGGAACAGAATCGTAGATTCGGAGATCATTTGGAGGGTTATCAGCTGGGAGGGGGAGGAGGGGAGAGTGGGAAAAAAGGCTCAGGGATTAAGAAGCGTAATTGGTAGGTATGGAACAGCCAGGAAGATGTTAAGGACAGCACAGGAAATGGCGTAGCCAAAGAACCCACATGCACGACCCATGGACATGAACTCGGGGGACAGGGACTGCTGGAGGCGGGGGGTCCTGGGTGGAGGGGGGCAAAGGGGGAACCATTGGGACAACTGTAATAGCATAAGCAATAAAATATATTTAAAAAATAATGTATGTTCCTTTTAGAAATCTTAGAAAACATAAACAGAGGAAAAAATTATGCATAACCTTGTGTGGGCAAACTGTGTTGGCATTGTGGTGTGTTTCTTTGGTGTGGTGTTCTATTCTTTTAAAAATTGGATTATTTTAAAATTGAGTTTATTTCATAAATATAATTTTGCATCCTGATTCTCCACAGAACATAACAGACATTTTCCATATTATTGCAGACTCTTTATAAATGTCGTTTTCAGTGGCTGCATAAATTTGCATTATGTTGCTGTGCCGTATCTTATCTAACCATTACTTCATAATTGGATATGCAGATTCTTTCTAATTATGTATTAAGTCTTCCTTCTTCAGATAACTTCCCCTTCTGGGGGTTATATTCAGATCTCTGGAGATATTTAAATATCTTCCAGGTAGTGTTTTACATACAATAAGCTGATGGCTTGAAATAATTGCCTTTCATTTAGGTGGAACATGTTTATGTACTTGGAGAGAACAAGGAAAAATACTCAATCTCGCGGTGCACCTGAGGGATCGCGGTCCAGGCCTCCGGGGCGTCCTGTGTGAGCCAAGGAGACTCGGGTGTGGAGCGCAGCCTCAGAGGCAGGCACGCGGCTCGCTGCGCGCGGCCGTCTGTCCCCCTTCTGGCAGGGAGACGCTCCTGTCCCAGGTACCTGATAGGGCCTAGTCCCCCCCTCCCTCCACACCCCGCTGCTGTGGCTGGTCATTAATCCGCGTGGTGGTGGCGCGTGGTGGTTTCAAGCCTCCTGGCTGGACCACTGTGCCGCCTGAGGTGTTTGCAGAGTGAAGAAACCCGAGCTGATTTTTGTTGCTCTGAGACGTTTACCTGGCGGGCTGTGTTCTCTTCTGTCGTTTCATATTCTGGGGCAGCGTGGGGGCAGCGGTGGGGGGTCTGAGCTTGTAGGTCTCAGCGTGGATATGAACATAGTCTGTATTCATGCCGTGCGCTGTGCGAGTGGCTGTGATCTGAATGCCCCAGGGGCTCCCGTGACCTCTGTGAGCCCCGACTCCCTGCCTGCAGCAGGGGTGCCTTCCCGCCAAAGGGGGTCGCTGCTCCGTGGGCCGGCGAGCGCTGGCCCGGGAAGCCTGGCGGATGGCGGCGCGAGCTCACGGGAGGCCCCGTGTCCCAGGTACTGAGTGCCCTCCCCACTGCAGGGCTGGTGGCCGTGCCTCAGCCCCAGGGACACGCAAATGCTCCATAAGGCTGTGCGGCCTGCGTGCCGCTGCCAGTGTGCACGGCGAACGTCTCTCACTCTGGGGAGCGGCTGCCACCGCCTCGGTTCCCACCCAGCTTTGACTTTCTTGGTGGTGGGTTCCTGCGTCCACTAGTTTCTTTATTTTTAAAATGTAATCTTTACTGTATTTTTTCCATTACCATTTCGTCCCCTTACACCCGCCTCCCCACTGCTGCCGCCAAGTTGCTGTCCTTTTGGCGGCGCCCCCAGCCTGCGCCCCCGCCCGCTGTTGTCTGCTCGCCACGAGCCCGTCTCCGTTTTCCTCGTCAGTGCGGTGCGTTCGTTAGACTCCACGTGTGTGTGAGATCAGGTGGTGCCTGCCTTCCTCGGACTGGCTTACTTCACTTAGCGCAGTGTTCTCCAGCTCCATCTGCACTGTTGCCGAGGGCAAGGTTTTCTTCTTTCGCTGGTTTCGTTTGAAGATGGCAAGTGTGGCGATGGGGTCTTGGTTTGCATCCTCACTGAGCTTTCTGTCACACTCAGCCTCGTTTCTCATCTTTCCAGAAAAGCCCACTTTTGGCTTTGGGAGTGTCATTGACCTGGGATTTCAAACTCACGCACTCACTGGTTCCTTCTTTTCTCCCTGCGCTTCCTCTCTGCGTGTCCCAGAGCGCTGTCCTCGGGGCCTCTGGTTGTCTCCGGTCACCTCTCTGGGAGCTCGGAGAGCCTGAGCACTCGCCTGGGCTCCAGCTGACGGGCCGCGGCCTCCGGGTGGGCAGGGGCGCTGCCAGGTCGGCCGGCCTGTGTCTGGGGCGGGATCTCTGCCCGACTCTTGGTGTCCCCAAGGAGTCGCACTTCCTAAGGAAACATGTCACGTCCTTCAGCCTGGTCTGTGTCAGGAATAAAGACAGAATTTCATCCCGATCCTTTCTTCGTTTTGTTTTCAACTTATTTAGAAGCTTAGTGGACAAGGGGGGCTGCTTGTTGGGAACCCCCTGAGATCTCTGCATTGTGATGCTGAAAGATCCACAGTATTACCCTGAGAAAACGACCCCGAGACCAACTGTGGATTCTATTTCCAGGGGCACTTTCATTTGAGGAGCATTGGGCCCCACCTGCGCGTTGTTCTCTGTCTTCCTTTCCTGCCCCTTCATCCATGGTTTTGTTTCAGATCTGGGGGGAGGGACGTGCTCCCCTTTCTGTCCTCTATGCGCTCACAATGTCCTAATGGACTTGGCGCGCCCACGGTTGTCTGAGATCACCCCTGAGAAGAAGCGGGAGTGGACAGGCTGAGACCCTGTGATGTGCCGGTTTCATGCCCGGGGTCACCCCTGAAATGAGCAGGTGCCCCCACCGTGTGCGCGGCTTTCTCTGCAGAAGGGCCGTTATGGATGCACAGGGCGCCGTGCGGGCCTGTCCTCCTCAGGCGGTTTCGTGTGCGGCATTTGGCGCCCCAGGGTCCGTTTCCGTCCCCACCACAGCGGGTGGGCTGGGAGCACGGGCCGCGCCCGCACTGGGCCGGTCAGCAGAGGCTCGCTGGCAGCGGGAGCCCCGGGGGAGGCTTCTCAGCTGGCAGCTGCAGACGGTCTGATTCTTCATGTTGGTTTGTGCTGTAATGGACGTTACTGCGTTGTACCCAGAACGATTCTGGTGGTTTTCTGTCCCCTGCTCCCTAGAGACTGAGCTTAGACCCGGAAAGCTCCCCCGGCGGCGGTTTGCCCATTGGCACCTGTGCTGAGGTCGGCGGGGTCCTCATGGGGCATCGTCGGGCCAGCAGTCTCGGAGCATGTGGCCCCCGGCACATGGGCCCCTTCTCTTAGTGCCTCCTCACGCTTCCCTCAGGAGGCCTGGTGATGATGACAGTCTTGGTCGGTTCACTGCACTCGGAGCTCACCGCGGCCAGCCCCTGGCCCTAAGGTGCTGTCTCGTTCCACCCTTTCTAATCTTCAGATGGGGGAGTGAGCCTCCCAGAGGTTGGATGGCTTCCACGGTGGTCACGTGACAAGTTGGGGGAAGATGGAGCCCTGTGTTCGACCCAACAGCATCGCTGCGGGCCTCCCCCATGCCCCACGCTGTGTTCCTGTTCCTCTTCACGCCAGGCCCCCGCCTCGGCCTGCCTGCAATGACAGAGCACACAGAGCCCAGAGGCGGGCACACCTCACCTGCCCCTGTCCCCCGTTCCCAACTCTCCCTGGTTCTTTTAAGTTGCTTGGTGACAGGCGCAGCGACTGGACCTTGGGCTCAGGGCCCCTCAGGGTCTTCACGAGCCATCTGATTCGCTGGGTCTTGGCCTTGTCATTTGCCACCTGGGCACAGGGATGCCCGCCTTCCTGGGGGTGTGGCAGGGTTCAGAGTGGAACGTGCGCTTTCGGGTGTGCCGAGGAGCGGCCTGCGAGCGGGGGTCCAGAGCCCGCGGAGACCCGCGCCGGCTGCCTCTGGTCGCCTGCGCCCTCTGCTCCTCCCTCCTCCGGGAGCGGACGGGGGTGGGGTGGGGAAACAGTCGCTCCCCAGAGCTCTGTTCCGGCGTCACAGATGGGGACTTGTAATTGTTCTCTTCCGTATCCTCATACAGGTGGACTGCAGACTCCTTGGGTGGGACCTGGCATTTTGCTTTGTACCTTGTAATTGATAGAAAAACATCTGTTACGGGATGAAGTATACCGATTCTGCATCCTGCCTGCCTACTGACTTCTTTGGAATTTAGGAAGGATTTGTTCTCTTGGAAAATGAAATCTCCTAGAAGATAGTAACTTAATTTCCTTCCTGTCCACAGGCCCTTAAGTGGAGCGGCCGCTGGTGATTATTCACATAAATTGAGTGAAGCTGCTACTTTCTTCTGGCCCCTTGTGCTCACTGTCCTTTCACTGCTGTCAGAAGATTGGACTAACCCAACTGTTGGGGATTGGCTTAAGAATTTTATTTTTATAAAATAAAAAAAAAAATAAAGTATAAAATAAAATAAAATTTTCCCACTTTTACTTTTGTTTAATTAACTTTTATTTTGTTTTTGTTCTCTCTTCAGAAAAGAAAGACGTGACTCAAAGCCTGGAGAGCTCTACGTCCAAGTGCCCGGGGACGATGGAGCTCATCACGCTGCCCGACGGCCTCACCCTGCCGCCCGTGCCCCTCACCAAACTGCCCATCGTCAGGTGAGACAGGTGCGGCCCGAGTGCCGGCCATGCCCTTCATGCTGGGACGTAGTCCTTCGGTCTGAGCATGAATATAGGTCTTTGAAAAGCTTCCGTTTGCCGTTGGCTGTGCACCTGTCCCTTACCTCCTCCAGTCTCAGCAGGAGTCCTAGGAGGTGTAGGCGGGTCTTCTGCAGATGGGGGGGGTCACGTGTGATGTCACATGACCGCAAGGGTTACCTAGCTGTCCCGTGGTGGAGCCGGACACCAACCTGCGTCTGCCTGCGTCGTGGCTGCTCTCCTGCCTCATCTCTTCTGCTCACAAACTTCCTGAAGTGTCCCATGCTCTTAGACCGGGTAGCCCTGTGACTCAGGAACGGCTGTGACCCCTTGGACATAGCGTGCATTTTGATGCCTTTGCTCAGGCTCAGCACCTCCCCCCCCCCGGTCCCCAGAATTCATCGCTCCCCTCCCTGGCTTTGTTTGACTCATGCTTTGAGACTCACTCCACAAGAGAGGCTGAGAATAGGTGTTTAGGTCTCCCGTCCCTGTAAGGGAGGTGGGCACGGGGATAGAAGTCGGTGCTTCCATGTCCTTCTTCCGTTGCACTTAGAGAAGTGGGTTATGTGTCTTTGTCAACAGTGTGGGCCCTTCTCTTCGACGCGCGCCCTGGAAGAGCGGGCGTGTGCGTGGGTGCCGAATGAGCGAACAGGGGTGTGCGTTAGGGTTCTGTGCCCAGCACTTGACAGGACACCTGCACTAGACCATCAGAGGTAGAAAGGGAGTTTATGGCACGTGCAGCCGGAAAGCCCAGGGGAGGGATTCAGGAAGGGCTGGCGGCGGGCCCAGACTGCCTCGTCGGGATGCCGCTTCTCCCCCTCTCTCGGCTCTGTCCCGGCAGCGCTGGCTCTAGTCTCAGCGTGGCTGCAGTGGCGGCTCGGCCCGTGCCCTGGGAAGGAGAGCAGGGGCCTTGCTCACGGCTGAGGGGGACGCTGGAAGCTCCTGTCCCTCAGGCCTCTTTTGCTGGTGTCCCTCTGCCTGCATGGCCTCGGGAGTCACGGGCGCAGACCCGAGTCGCCCCTGACCGCTCACCCGAGAGCAGGGCACATGCAGGTCCCTGCGGCACCTGCTGGGGGCCGCGGAGCCGGGGTCCCCCACCGCAGCCCCGGCGGAGTGCTGCCCTGACCTTGGGCCGGCGGCCCCGGAGGGCGTGCATCCTTAGCCCTGGGCCGCGTTTTGTCCTCCCAGGCTCGTGACACCCTCTGGCGCAGGGGACTGACCCTTTGCCTCTGTGCCCCTGTTCTCACTGATGAATGGCTCCGTGGTTTTACCCCGGATCAACGGTCACACCCAGACAGCCTGGCTTTGTGCTGTTCTCCCGAGTCGTTGCCATTCGACAGTATAAAGAATGAGACAAATATGATGTCCTTGCTCCATTTCTTCAGCCTTGCTCACCCTCCTTTCTCCTTGTCAAAGCAAGGTCTTTTTTGTCCAAAGTCACACCGTGGGTCATCCTTCTACAACGTACTGCGTGCTGTTTCCTCCTCTGAGATGCTCTCTGCCATGATTATGTGTGAGGGATGCTCATGCGGAACATCCTGTGAGGTGTCAGGAAGGAAGGGCAAGGACTAAAATTTATGGGTGTGTCTGGTTTATGCCGAGCACTAGGAAACACCCTTCATGTAAAATGGGGAAAACCATAGGGTTTTGTTCAGTAGTCTCACGTTCAGATTCTCTTTTGGCAGTTAATTGTGTGACATTGGTCTCTCTCTCCTTGGAGCCCGTGTTTCCTGTTGCCGCCCTGGGCTCGGCGGGGTGCGCCCGCACATGTGAATCACGAGGGAAGCGTGGGAAGGGCTCCGTGAGCAGAGGCGCCGCTGGGGGCATGACCCTCGCCGAGGCTCCCGGGGCTCTTCCCTCTCGGCGGGGAGCCTTGTTTTCAGTGTTGAAGGGAATCGGCGGAGTGGCGCCCCACCGCGCTCCGAACAGTGCCAGCCGCTGGCATACGGTGTCCTGCAGTCGCCAGCGCTGACAGAGACGGGCTGTGACAGCCGTGTTGTCCAGCCACGCCGAGGAGAACGCTTGCGCACCGAGCACGCCTTCGCGCCGGGCCTTCGCTCAGGCAAGCTCTGGCTGGAGCCCAGCAGCAGCGGGCTGGAGGCTGTGCTCTGAGGCTGGCGGGGCGGTGCTGGGAGTTCTGTGCTGCGGCCGCGGGCCGACCGCGCAGCTGCGTGCCGCCCGCGGCTGCAGTGGATGGTGCCCCGTGGGTTTGTGCGGAACGGCTGAGTGTTCACCGGAGGAGGGGGGTGTGGCTGCCACCCTCTTAACAGACCGGTGTTCCGTCTCCTGCTGCAGAGGGCCCGGGAGCTTCCACGGCAGCGGCCACTGGTTTTCCTGGGATGCAAGTCCATTCCAGTGTATCAACCAGGTGTGGCAAGGACCTGTGCCTGGAGACATGGCCTTCATCAGTTAAAAAAAACAATTCAAGCCAGACATTGCACGTCACTCTCTGTAGCCCTAGGAAGAGCTCAGTAACACGCACATTTGGAGAGCAGAGCTCCCGATGTGTGTTACAGAGTGAGTTGGTTGAAAAATGTCGGCGTCTGTGACTAAATGGTCAGACCTGCTGTGTAGAATTGTTTTGACTTTAATTAATTTAATGTCAGTGTTGTTTTATAATTATGATTTTGGTTTTAGAATATATGGTTGGAGCCGTTTTTACCTGCTGAGTGAGGACTTTTTTATTTTTTTTTTAAAATCCTCATCCAAGGATATGGTTATTGATTTGACAGAGAGAGAGAGACAGAGAGAGAGAGAGATGTGAGAAACACTGACTGGGGATCGAACGTGCAGCCTAGGCCTGTGCCCTGACTGGGTCTCAAGCCCGCACCCTTTCAGCTTACGGGACAAAGCTCTGGCTACCCGAGCCCGTGGCCAGGGCTGTCCCATCCCTGCTTCAGCCTTAAGCTCAGTGAATCGATTTGTCAGGTGCCTAAGATGTGCCGTCCCGGGGTGGTGCTGGGGTCTAGTGGCGGCCGGCGCGAGCCCAGGGCCAAGAGGCTGTGGGGCCCACGCCCAGCTCATCTCTCCGGAGTCTGCGCGGGAGGCTGTCCAGCTGAAGCACCAAGTAATGCCGCTTCCTCCCCTGCGGAGCTCCCCGCAGATAATTGTGTGCCGAAAAGCTGACCCTGGAACAACACACCCCAGGTCATCACGTGGGTAACTCGCTCACAGCCAGTTGTGAATTACTGAAGGGGAATTGGGCGGACGGGAGACCCCCTTCACGGACGACCAGGGGCCTGTCTTTGGTGTTGGGTGGGGGGCAGGGCCTGGCTGATCTGTTTTTCTTTTTTAGTGAACCAACCCTGAGCCGCTTCAGCCCAGCAGAGAGCTCTGGGGTTAATGAGGCTCCTCTATTGATAAGGATTGAGACCTTCCAGTCAGAACCGGCTTGCAGTCGCTTGGAGTGGTTTCAGTGCTTTTCAGGCGCAAACTCTTGAGCTAATTGTGCTGTTTAAGGAAGGATTACAGGTGTTTATTCAAAAAGGGGCTCCGTGGCGTGGCACACAGGGCAGTTTTCCCCAGTGAATGAAACGGAGCAAAGCCAGCGCCTCAGCGCCAGTCGGTCTGCGGCCTGCGCGGCCCCACCAGGGCCCCACTGTTGTCCAGAATATTGTCTCACTTGGTACGATTGCCTAGCCTGCAACCTCCCTGGGGATTTCTTAATTTGGAGCCTTTTGAGGAAAGTAACAGACGCAGCAGCGTCAGGCGGGGTGGCCTGCATCGCTGATCCGTTGCGGCCTTGCCTGGGCTTGGAAGGGGGCGGCCTCCACAGGGGGCGGATGTGGCCAGTTTCAGTCGTTGCCCCTGTGCAGGGCCCCCCAGCAGGCTCCTGGGGGTGTGTCTGCTGTTACTAAGGTCGGTGGGTGGAAACCAAGGAAGAAGGGTGAGTCGCTCCTCTCTGCCAGTTAGTTTGTGTCACTGTTCTAATGAGTGCGCTGTGACTTTGCATGGTCCCGATTAGCGGACAGGATACTGAGAAGTCAGGTTTTTAAAATGTGGCCAGTCTCCAAGTGGAATCCTTAGAAGTTACCTCCCCCCGCTCCGCGCCCCTGGCCCCCGGCCCCAGTGTTAGCCGTCTAACCCCCGGAGTTCTGCTTTCCCAGTGGCTGCATAGAGCAGACGTGCTGTTACTAGTTCTGCGGCGACTCACGCTGCGGGGATTGTGTGCCTGAGGTCAGAGTGGGCAGCTGTCCACCGGGGACATTTTATAAAAAGGCATTGGCGCTCAATTTTGGGTTATGAATGAATATCGTGATTGCCTGTCGCGTTACTTCTCTGGCTGACCATGCCCTCCGCATTCCTTTATATATTTTTTAAAAATTGATTTTAGTGAGAGGGGAAGGGAGGGAGAGAGGGAGAGAAACATCGAGTGCCCCAATGGGGGACCAAATGATTGGGAATCGAACCTATGACCTTTTGGTTTACGGGACAGCACCCCACCCAACGGAGCCACGCTGGGCTTTCTTTACACACTCTAAAGCCTTCCCTGTGGTCTGGAAAGTCTGTGCCTGTGCAGGTGGTTTCTGCAGACTCCCAGATAACACCTCCCTTTTAGGTGGTGACTGTTGTGTGGACAGAAGGCTATTTGTGTTGCAGGAGAATGGAATTGTCTTACAAATAGAAATGCCCGCGGCTCTTGTGGACCTTGTCTGAGCTGAGGTTTAGCAGCAGCTCAGCTTGCGGCAGGGTGGGGACCGAATCGTGGGTTCCTCTAGCCAGCTCAGCGTCCTCTGTGCCCACAAATGAGTGCTGTTTTAAGGTGGGGAAGAGAAAGGCTTTTGTGCACCTGCTTTGTGTTGGGTGCTGTGATGGGTGCCGTACAGGTATGAACTCACTTGCTCCTCAGAGTAGCCTCTGAAGGGCTGGGGATCCCACTGGGGACCACTCCCTGTCTGCTTGAGTGTGGCGTCAGCAGGAAGAAATGCCTGCCTCGGGCAGGGGGCAGAGGCGGTGAACGGCCAGGCCCCCTTCCGTGGTGCACAGGGCAGGCCCGTGGGTGGCCCCAAGAGAAGGGCCGAGCGGTGCATGCCCTGGCTCTCCTCCCCGCTCTGCACCCCCCTTAGGAGGAGCGAGGACGGTGCAGAACGAGGTGTCGGTGTCGATGTTGCTGCTACTGTGAGGACCTCCTTGCTCCCAGGAAACGGAACCAGGGAAAGGCGCCCGTCTCTGCACAACATGTCAGGCACCCTTCGCCTTTGCCGTCTGACACGGGGAGAGGCTGGGGTCCGGGAGGTGGGGCGGCGGGTCCGGCCGGACTGCAGTCAGGTCTGCGCCCCGGCTCGGGCCTCTCTGCCGCGGACGGAAAGCCAAGAGCAGGGCTCCCTTTGGTTGGATGCGCGTGGACACGACACGTCCGCGGGGCCTGGCATCTCGGCCAGCATGATGCTTTGCTCATCGTGGTCCCTGGGCAGGTCATCCTGGAACGTTCACAAAGGGCTGGGGTTTGCAGCTGTTGGTAATGGAGGGCTTAGCTTTGTGTGTCTCGTTCTGAAAGAGTTGGAAGCTGACTTTGAAGTTCAGCTGTGGGGAGTTCATGCGTTCAACATTTACTGAGAGCTCTGCGTTAAAGAACTGCACTTGGCGCCGGACTGGAGGCAGGTCAGTCCCTGGGCGCCTGTCCTCGGGGAGCTCACAGGTAGATGGCCACGAAGCGACCCTGGTCCTGCGTGACACAGGCGCCATGAAGGAGGCGGAGTGCGCACGGACGCCCTCTCGGTAGAGGGCTGTGGTCTGTCAGCGCCGTCTCCTGCTCTGGGTCATTGTGGAGCCAGATGGGAAACACACGTGTGACTTGGCTCTCCGCGGGTGCAGGCCTATGCTGGGACTGGGCAGCCGCAGGTGCCTGCGATGCCCTCGGCGGAGAGAGGTGGTGATTGGAGGTATTCTTCAGGGGGCCTTGACTAGGGTAGCCTGTGCTGGTGCAGAAAAATTAACCCCCACACCAACAAGGTCTCTGTCCCGCACACACAGTGTTCGACGCGCGCCGGGCAGCTTTCCAGGGCGACTCACCTGAGGCCACTGGGTGACCCAGGCCACGTCCACCTTCTGGTCTGCCTTCTCACTGCCCGCTCTGCGGGTTGCCTCGCACTGGAGGGAGCGCCCCGGGGCTGGCTGGCACGCCGCTCTCTCTGCGGCCAGCGCCTGGCCTCGCCTTCCTACGCAGAGGCCGGGGGAGGACAGGCAGGGCCCAGCCAGCAGTGTCGCTGCCAAGCCTTTCACTCTCCCCCGCCTGCCCGCCGTTTCACTCTTGGGCCATGGAATAGTCCAGATCCGAGCCCCGCCGTGCCTCGCGGCTTGCACGGGAGGTCCAGGTGCTGTGGTTTAGGGGTGTGGCGCCTCCTGCCATCGCCAGTTCCTCGTTGCCAGCTCCTGGCTGTGGGACTTGGGCAGCACACTTCATCTCTGTGCGTCGGTTCCTCACTGATAACACGGAGACAGTAGCAACAGCGCCCGAGGCCGGCAGGTGCGGTGAGTTTGAGATGTTACACGCGCGGCGGTCAGCACGGGCGGAAGGTGCTCAGGCCCTGCAGATGAGTAGATCTTCAGAAAATGCAGGCTGGTCGGTCTGAGTGTGAGCATTGGTGAGCAGCCATTGTAGGTGGGAAAGCAGCGTGGGCTGCAGGCTCGCTGACGGAAGCTCCGTCGCTCCCTTACAGCAGACAGCACCGCTAACCTTCATGCGTGGCCCCTGGGTCTGAGCGCTTGGGGCTGCCCTCTGTTGGCTGCGCCCCCGCGGGAACGGGTGAGGCGGAGCCTGAGTAGAGCAGCCGGCCCGCCCGGGAGCCTTTCACAGGCAAGGGGCCTGCGCTTGGGGACTGCCGGGCATTGGCGCAAGGGCCCAGCACGGCGAGGGGCGCAGGTCAGGTGTCAGCCGGGCCCAGGGACGTCCCGGCCCCTGCATGAGCAGCTGCTTTGTCCGCCACGTTTGGGTGCTTTTCTTCCCCCGGTTCATCTTCTGTTTGATGTACTGTTTTTCTAACGCATGCTGTTTTGTGATATTTCCGCTGAAACCACGCTAACAAGGCAGTTGACATATTTTTGTTCTGTTTGAAACTACAGGCGTGTGAAACTGCTGAACCTCCCTGCCAGCCTCCGGCCACAGAAAATGAAAAGCCTGCTGGGTCAGAATGTGTCCACCAAGAGCCCGTTCATCTACTCGCCGATCATCGCCCACAGCCGCGGGGAGGAGCGCAGCAAGAAGATCGGTAGGGCCGTCCAGCCTGGCTTTCTGGCGGCTGCGCGCATACTCCACGTGGTGCAGGCCCTCCTCTCAGTTATCCGGTTTGCTGCCGCCTTTGGGCAGTTGCCGTAGATCTGAGTTTTAAAAATCCAGTTCACGAAAGGAGGTACTTTTGTTAAGTTGTAGAAGCCAGAAGACCTCTGTTAGCCGGGACTGACGGTGAGAAGTGGAGAGTAGGGTGCATTCCCAGGGCCCGGCGTGACTCCTGAGCTGTCGGAGACAAGGAAAGGCTGCCTCAGGCTCAGGGTTTGTTGTGGGAGAAGGATGAACATGGGCCCTTGGCCTTGGGGCCGTGTGGCTGGGGTGAAGGTCAGCGCCCGGGAGGCCGGCTCTGCCTTCCTGGTTTGCCCTCTCGGGAAGCCTCAACCATCTCAGGAAACTGTTAGGGCTTCTTTTTGTGAAAATAACAGTCTGTTTCAGAGGGCTTGGCCTCATGACGCAGGAGGCTGCGGGCAGTCTGCCCCAAGTTACAGACGGGAAACTTAGGGCCGATCCAAACTGGCGGCCCCGGGGCGGGGAGTGCGGGCCCCCGCCAGGCCCGGGACATGGAGCCCCCGCGGGGAATTTCCCTTCATGGTCTGGCTCCTCATCACAACGAGAGGCACCTTCTCGCCTGGGCTGAGGATAACTCAGTGGATGACGCGAGGTCTTTCCTGGGGTAGAATAGAGGCTTCTGCCAAAGTGCACGTTATTTGTTGAATGCCCACGGGTGGGAAAATGTAATGTGTATCCTGTGGCTTCTCTGCTTTTGACAGTATCCTGGTCAGCTGGGACGTGCCTGGAGGTTTGGGAACCACGTATCTTTAACCTAAACTTCCAGCCCCGACACAGGGATCTCCGTGTGTGGCCAGGGCGGAGCTGTGAGGAGAGCCTGGCGGGCAGCCCGTGAGGCTGTTCACTCCGATTTGCCGCCCCGTCTGACGCTGTCGGTGTTGCTGCCGCCCAAGGTGGACCCTGTGCGAAGGGGGCTGAGCCCGCGTCCTGCGCTGGCGCGCAGTGGGTGTGAGGGCCTCGTGTGCCCCCAGGCTTGGTGTGGGGCACGGCGGCCCCAGGGGCAGTGCGGTGGCCGTGGCTGTCGGGGCGCTCGGCTGTGGCCCAGCCCTGCAGCTGTCACTCCCACTGCGCTACCTCAGACAGGTGGTCACACCTCCCTCGGCGGCGGTTGTGCTGCTTAGTGTGGGGATGGGAGAAGCCGATGCAGAGGGGTCTCGCGAGGGTTGAGTGAGACATGTTCCCAGAGTGCCTGGCAGCCTTTGGGATAAGGTGTTGGGCGGTGGCTGCATGTGCCGTGCTGGGTGCTCCCTGCCTCACGTGTGCCTGTGGCACAGGTGGAGACCAGCCTGTACCCAAGAGTGACCAAAGGACGCTGGCAGCCCAGGGTGACAGCACCATGGTCAGAGCAGCGCAGTGGGAGGGCCTGCCCCAGATAGGGGACAGACGGCCGTCGGCTGCTCTCCTTCCCGGTTTCCGGGACAGAGGGTCGAGCAAGGGGCTCCCGTGGGCTCCGATCTGCCAAGGGCCAGTGGGCAGATTAGCGCCTCCTCCCCGACAGAAGCCGGGGTGGGGGTGCAGCGGCCCACCTCCGGCACCCTGGGGCCCTGCAAGTACGAGCGAGCCCTCCCAGAGCCCTGGGAAATGCTTTGGGTCATGGCTGAGAAAAAGGTAGTTCCTTAGCTTTGGGCACAGCAGTGCGTTAAAACGAGTGACATTTTCCTCCACTGTGACGGCAGGGCTGGCTCTGACTGCTGTTGTCAGGGACAGGGTCAGGGGCGTCACGTGCTCTGGAGGCGGCCTCCGTGGGCCTCCCCTTGAGGCACTCACGGCAGGGTGGGGTCTGGGGCAGAGAGGTGTGGGGGAGCGGTGAGAGGACCATGGGGGCGGGGGCAGGAGGCTGGGGCAGCACGGGAGGAGCTTGGCTCGGTCTCTGTAGGGCACCTGTTGCCAGTGCGGGCGGCAGGCGGGGCCTCTGCAGAAGGCCTGTGGGAGCAGCGGGCTCTCGTGGCACCCCCGCGTGCACCCCTGTGTCCACTCCAGGAAAAGCCCGTTTTGTCTGGGCCTGTTGTAGACGCCTCCACCTTCAGACCCCCGGGCCGGCCTCCCGCTCGGGCTGGGAGTCGCAGGCGCCTCTCGCCCTGTGTGGGCCTGGAGTGTCTGCCTTGCAGCAGCGGGGAGGACGCGCCCTCTCTCCCCAGGGCATCAGGAAGAGCTCTAGGTGACCCGCTTGGAAGTGCCTCCCGCCCAACCCGTGCCCCACACATGCTGTTAAGCGGAGGGCCCGCCCCGTCGGCCTCGTCCTGGCAGGAGGGGCTGTGGGAATGCCGGGGCGCTGCCTCAGCTCTCTCTTACTTTGAATCAAACTGCTACGCACTTCGTGGCTTTAAATTCACACTTAGAACAAGACAAATGAGCTCTCGCACAGCTTCTGCGGGCCAGAAGCCCAGCACTTGCAGGCTGGGCCCTCTGCTCCAGGTCTCACGGGCTGAAATCCGGGTGCCTGCTGGGCCGTGTCCCTGTCTGGACTGGGGAAGATTTGTTTCCGGCTTTCCTCAGGTTGCTTGTCATTCCTTCCCTGTGGTCGTACAACCGACACTCCTGTCCTCTTGCAAGCTGTGAGCCAGGGCCATCCTCCGCACCTACAGGCTGCTCCGGGGTCCTTGCCATGTGGCCTTGCCCTGCGGCCCTCGCCTGCTTTGAGTCTTTCCCTCCAGGAAGGGTAGGCTATGGTCCCTGTAAGACCTCAGCTGGTTAGATCGGGCCCACCCGGCTGCTATCCCTTTTGATGAACTCAAAGTCGACTGATTGGAGGCCTTAATCACATGTGCTGAATCCTCATATTCACACTTGGGTAGAGAGTCCCACCGGCCGTCTGCAGCAGGCTGGGAGATCTCGGGGTCGGCTCAGAATCCTGTCTCCTGCAGGTGCTGAATACAGCCCACCTGGGAGGGTCAGGGAGGAGGAGCCACTGTGCCGGGGAGGGGAGGAGAGGGGAATCAAGCTGTCCGCCGCTCAAAACTGACCGTACCAGCTCCCGGGCCCATGAGGCTCTGTGTGCCCTCTGGCTCCATGCCAGGCTTGGTGCTGTCTGGGTTGACTTTGGTTTTGTGGAGCTGCATTTGGCTTCATGGCACCGGTCAGCCTGCTGGGGATGGCAAGAAACACCTGCCACACAGCATCCAGGTAGCGGTGATGGCCTGCCCTGCTTCTGAGAAAGCTGGTGGGCAGCCAGCTGTGAACTCTTTCTCTCATGACAATGTGGCGCCCCCTGCGTCCCTGGAAACGTGAATCACATGGATCGCCAGAGGCGTAGCCTGAAACCACGCAAAACGAGCAGCCCAGCTAACACTCGGCCGTTGTGTGTATGTCTGCAGATTTCCAGTGGGTCCAAGGAGATGTGTGTGAGGTCCAGCTGATGGTGTACAACCCCATGCCGTTCGAACTCCGCGTGGAAAACATGGTATGTCTCGCCAGCCGTTTGCCAAGGGTTATAAGTGTTTTGTGAGTGAAGACCACGTTGTTGTGCCTGTGTCTCTAGTGCCTGGGACTCGGGACGTTTGAATTACTGGGCAAAGAGCCCCCTTTGGGACACACGTGGAGCTTAGGTGATTGCATATGAGACTTGAGATGATCGTAGGTCACTGCGTCTCTATGAGGCGCTGAGGCGACGAGGGCTGAGGGGGAGCCTGGGGTGAGAGGGAAAATCCGTGCGCTGCCGTCACTCCTGAGCTGCCTGTTGGTGCTGACCCGCACGCGGGGCCGGGCCAGGTGCGCAGGGCTGGCTTCGTGGTGGCGTCTGTTGGAGCCCTCGCCCGAGTCTGTTGTGGGAAGAAGATGGGTCCTGGCTCTCTGAGCTAATTCTGATGACCCCAGGGCAAAACCACTGTCACCACGTGGGCCCTGCTTCTCCAGTCCCCGGTTTCTGTTTCCACGCCTGCCCATGACCTCTGCCCACCGTAGCAGGCCATTTCACTCTTCTGCTCAAAATCTGGGCACAGGTGTGCTCATGCCCTCGGGCGTGTCTCTTGGGGGCTTTGTGTAGACGGAGTTAGGAAAACTACACATGCCTCTACAGGTAGACATGCATGTCCGTATGTACCCGTGCGCATGCCTCCGCACACGTGCATATAGACTCATGCTCGTATATACAGCACACACACGTTTATGCATCCTGACTTTACAGTGGTACCTCCTCCACTCTAACCCGTCGCCACGGGCTCTTTCTTGCCTTCCTCCGTGCCAGGCCTGTGTCCTCGCTTCCAGTGTGAGTGCCTGGCTCATGACGTCAGCACGTTCTTGCTGGGTTTTTATAGAATTACCTTTGCTTTTGTGTTTTAAATGCTGACCCTGCCACTTTGCTAAATGCACTTGTTATTTTAAATTTCACTGTAGATTCCATAGAGTTTTCTTTTATTTTTTTTGTTCTCATCTGAGGACATTTTGTTTCATTGCTTTTAGAGAGAGAGAAAAGGGGGGCGGTTGTGGGGGGAAGAGAGAAACATTGATCAGTTGCCTTCTCATATGTGCCCTGACGGGGGATTGAATCTACAACCTGGGTATGTGCTCTGACCAGGAATTGAACCTGTGACCTTCTGGTCTATGGGATGATCCTCCAACTGACTGAGCCACTCCTGCCAGGGCTCCATGGGGTTCTCTGTGGTCACAGAGTTGTCTTCTGTGCATAGCTGTCCCTACGCCTTTCGTTTCTTTTTCTGACTGCGCCGGGCAGCCCGTCCGTTATGTGTCCCCTTAGCTGACCTCCTGCGCTGTGTCTAGCCGCGAGGCAGCTGCCAGCGGCCAGGAACCTGTCTCATCCACTGTCAAGCGTAGAGCTTGGCCCTTCCTGAAATGAGCTGCTGACTCATGGATGCACCGGGGGATATTAATGGATGTGTATTTCCACACTTCATGTTTTTCTCTTTTTTGTTTACATTCCCATTCTGGTAAAACAACAAAGCCAGACAAATATCAAAAAAAATAACAATCAGGGTTAACATCAAGAGGGACTTGTTCAACACGGTGCCCCTGTTGGAGGCTGTTTTATGTGAATCGCACGTTGAGCCTGTCTCCCTGCAGCTTCACGGAAGCCCCTCCGCTCCGGCCGTCCCGGAACTTGCCCTCGAGCGGCTGGACCTCGGCTCATTCGGACCTACCCGTGGCTGTGGGCCTGGGCGGTGCTTGCTCATGTGGCTCGTTGCTTGTTCTAGGGGCTCCTCACGAGCGGAGTGGAGTTCGAGTCTCTTCCGGCGGCGCTTTCCCTCCCGGCCGAGTCTGGTCTGTACCCTGTGACGCTCGTTGGGGTCCCCCAGACAACGGGAACGATCACTGTCAACGGTGAGGGGAGTTTCTTTCCGGTTCAGGGTGGGCAGGGCGGCCAGCCCGTTGTGCTGCCTCACCGAGTGCCAGGCCACCTGGCACCCCAGTCCCCACCTCTGGGTATTGTTTCATTTCGTTACACAGTTAGCTCGCAGCACTTCTCTCAGAATCTCAAATGCCATTTTAAAGCTTTGCCTGAACAGTCCCAAGTGCTTCTCTAACCCAGTGTGTTTTTCTTTTTCTGCATGGAAAATTAGCTTATCTTAAATTATAATTATAGTTATTTTATACGCCCAGCAGATATTTGCCACATCACATAGCAGTGATAACAATAATTGGGTCTCGAACTTTCATCTCAACAGAAGATTTTGAGATATTTATCAAATACTTAAGTCCCGTTGTGTCCTGGAAGGCAATACTGGCTCTCATTCTCACTGAGTGACACATGCATTCGCAAAGCACATTGGAGGAGGGTGAGATAGAATTGTGAGGTCGTGCAGAGGTTTCCAGTTCAGAGAGACTCTCACATCTGGATACAGGAGCCGTGAGGTCGGAGTGCAGGGCCGGGATCAGCTCCACTCTCCATGGGAGGCGACTTGCGTGGTCAGGGCTGAGCCTGGAGCCTGCGGGTGAGACTGGCAGGCGAGGGGCCGACTCGCACCTCTCGGGTCCTCAGAGAGGGACCCCCGCACTCCCCTGAGGCATGAGCATGAGACTTGAAGCTGGTCCCGCGTTTGAAGCTTTCCTCTTGTTTCCCAGGCTACCATACCACCGTCTTCGGCGTCTTCAGCGACTGCTTGCTGGACAGCCTCCCGGGAATAAAGACCAGCGGCTCCACAGTCGAAGTGGTCCCTGCCCTGCCCCGGCTGCAGATCAGCACGTCGCTGCCCAGGTAGGCGCGTGCAGAGGGCAGGCGTCTGCTTTTGACGACAGATGGCGCTGCAGAAGGCTCTGTAGTGTATGTTTTTTAATGGCACCAGGAGTCTGAGTTAATCTGTGACTTTTACAACCAGGATATGGGTGAGGGCTTTCTCCAGGATAACAAAGGGCAACGTGCTTTGCTTACCGTGAATGGGACCTGAGTTGAAGTGTTCCTTACGAAAAGCAGAACAAGTGTGAAATTAGCCTGTCAAGTAATGATTTTTGTACTATACAGTGAGGGTTAAGAAAAACTCTTATCTTTTAGAAAGTAACGCTGCAGGAAAGCAGAGAGGGTGAGGGGATCTCTGTCTTCCCAGAGGTGGTTACTTGCAACGCTCGCTGGTGCTCCCTCCCCTTCAGGGAGCGCCCTTAGGAAAGAAAGCACGGGGCGGGACAGCTGGTGAGCTCCCAGGGCTGCACCCTGCAGGGGGAATCACCCGGAACAGGAGCAGGGGCCATAGGAAGTGATGCAAATAAATAATTCGGTAATTAATAAATACTAATGTGTTTCATGTACTCACAACTGTGAACCTACTTTTGCCAAGTCCTGTATGTGTTAGAATAGTTGGGATTACACTACGTTACATGTAGTGTCGTAGGTTACTTTTTGTATAACCATATAACATAGGATAAAAATTTTTATTTCAGTGGCTTCATAAAGCACATTGTAAGAAGTATCTCAAAATCACATCACCGTGCATTTCCTTGCTCTTGGAATTTGAGATTGTCTCAGTATCTGCTCTTAAGGAGAATGCTTTATGTTTACTCTTTAGGCTGTTTTTATAAAATGTGCCTTGGTAGTATTTTCTGCAACGTCTGAAAAGCCCTCACATAATTAATGGGCAGCCCCAGGGTGGCCGGGCGTCGTCAGGGAGCCAGGCAGTCAGGCACGCAGCCGCCAGGACTCCGGCGGGGCGGGGAGGGGCACCGGGAGGAGCTGCCCGTGCAGTGTGGGTGGTGGGCAGGGCATTAGCCAGGCCAGGTAGGTATGCGGGAGAATTTTCTAACCCCAGCAGCAGCCTGGGAGGGACCCCAGAGGGGAGGAAGCAGCATGTGATTGGGGAATGTGATGAAATGTGGAAGAAATGAACTTGGAAGGGATCACGGAACTAAGTGTGAGAGCTGAAAGTACAAAACTTTGAGAAGAAAATTTTTGTGACCTTGGGTTAGGCAGAGGAGTTCTTTGATGGCCATGAAAAGCAGATCCTCTGTCCGAGCCTGGAACCAGCGGCCCCTGGGGCTGGGCATGACCGGCTCCGTACGCCTGACATGTAAACGTGGGCTCACCCCCGCACAGCGGAGGCGTGAGGTCAGTGCTGTCTGGAACACTCGTTTCTGTCCTTTGGACCAGAGCGTGGCGATGCGGGATCCCCATGGTGCCTGTAAACAAGGCTCGGATTGCCCCGGTCCTCTGCGGTGGTCCGCCCTCCTGGCTCCTGGGAGATGGGCATTGAATTCCACGTTCAAAACCAAGGTTCCCCAGCTCCCACTCCTGAAGTTCGTGAGTGTGGAGATGTGAAAAATTCTAAAATGCCACTCGTTGCCTTTTCTTCTTTTAAAAATATATTATTATTATCACCGTTTCCTTAGATCTGCACATTCACTGCAGCCTTCCTCTGGGGACGAAGTATCCACGCATGTGTCGGTCCAGCTCTACAATGGAGAGGCTCAGCAGCTGGTCATTACCCTGGAGAATATTGGCCTGGAGCCACTGGAGAAGCTAGAGGTCACCTCCAAAATCCTCACCACCAAAGGTGAGTGTTTGAAGCTGGTTGACCCCAGCGATGTTTATCTTCTTTCTTTGATGCCATCAAATGAAATGGGCATTCTAATCACGCGTGAAGGATGCGCACAGGAAGATGATGGAATGAGAATGCGTACTCGTATCCCAGTGCGCCTTCCACTTGTGGAGCCCGAGGAAACTATTCCTGAGTTAATGAGCGAAGAGCACATCAGCAGGCTCAGGAGCACCCCCACCTGAGGTGCGCCCCGTGGCCCAGCCGCCAGTGCCTTCTGGGGGCTTGGCACCCGGAGCCCACGCACCTCCCTGACCAGCCGGCGCTCTGGCTCCTAGCTCAGGGCCCAGGGGGCTTGCAGGCAAAGACCGTGTTGGCATGGCTTCATCTTCCACAAGCTGCTGGTCCTTTTTGCACCTGAGTTTTCTCCTGGGAAGATAAGGGAGGTAGCACTTACCCTGTGAAACTGTTCCGAGAATTCGGGGGGTGGGGGCGAAGGGCGCAGCACCTGTGCAGTGGGGTTGGTGGGCAGGGTTGGCCACAGGCCTCACTGTGAAGCAGGGAAACCTGTGAAGGGTGGAAAGTAGAAATAAAATCAGGTCATTTAACACAGTTAGAGAAACGATTCTGACCAGTGAGGCCAGACAGAGAAAGCCAAATGAGGACAAGCAAGCCAAAGGGGCCAGAGGGCGTTTCCCTGCCTTGAGGGCAGAGCGAGGGGAGCCAGGCAGCTGGTGGGGGCCTGCCGGCCCGGCCCCAGGCCCCATTCCCAGGACGGGAGGTGCCGTGGGCTCCTGCGTGGCAGGGGCTGCCTCCTCATGGAGCGGCACTGTAGCAGGACAGCCGGGGTAGCCGAGCCACAGGCCACCTGGGTGGTGCCGCCTGGCGGGGAGGTCCAGGGGTGACTTGGGGAGAACTTGTTGTGCAGAAATTATGTCATGAAATAAGGTGCTTGGATTGTGTAGCTAAGGCTTAGCCTGAGCTTGTCCCTCTGGGGAGAGTTGCCGGCATCTTGTATTCATGTATTTGTCTTGCTGATTTTGGGGGAAGTAAAGCTTTTGTCTGCAGGTTCATGGGGGACTCCCTAACTCTCAGCTTTGGTCTCGTTACCCTTAACCATGTGTGGGATGGAGCACCTCAGATCTGTCGCACACAGCACGGGACGGCCGTCTCAGAACAGCGCCTTCGTAAGTGGAAACACGGAGCTGCCCTTCTTTTTAAATTCTCGTCGGAAGCTGTCGTGCATTTCCATGTGGGATTAAATTAATGGAGATAAACCATCTGCTTCCCAAATCTACACCGGGAATAATTCCTGTCACTTAGATGGTACCGTAGTCTGAAGCTGTCAGCGCTGACGAACGACCCGGTAGACGTGAGAAGATGGGGAGCAGCCTTCAGCGGGGCACGCGCGCCAGGGCTGTGTGTCCGGGCAGGGAGGGCGGTGAGACGCTGTGAGGGCCCCTCACGGACGGCAGGACGCCTGTCCCGCCTGGGCACCGGTGTCCCCGGAGGCCGTGGTGTCCGCCTTTGTATGGATCCCGCGCTGCCAGCTGCGGCAGCTTCTCCACGTGGAGCCAGACGCCCTCCGCTGGGTTCCGTGGGGTGGTCCTTGCTCTGCTCTCAGAGCTACTTTGTATCTCAGTGGTCGTAAGAGCCCTTACTAGCTTCAGATCACAGGCCCCTCAGGTCGTTTTTCTCATGAAATAACGACAACACCCCTGGGAGGTCTTTCCTGGGGTGCGGGTGGGGGCCCGTTCATTTCACTGGTGTGCACGGTGCCGCAGGAGTGCCGACAGTGCTTGTCACCCAGTAGGTGCTCGGCAGGTACAGCGCTGGTCCCGGCTGTGGGGTTGTCATGCGGCTGACATGTCAGTGCAGGACACGGGAAGCGCTCGGGGCCATCCAGAGTGCAAACACACCCGATCCGCGTGTGCTTTGAGGAGGCCGAGTAGTCACGGTGCGTCTCCCCCCCCCCCCCCCCGGGCCCCGACAGCCTGCGCGCGGGGGCTGTGGCTGAACCAGGGCCCCGTCTCCTCCTCCTCCCGCCCCTGTTGCCTGCAAGCAGCCAGGGTCCTGTCAGGGACCTCTTGGGCACCCTTGTTCCCCTCTGAACGATCCCCCTTTCTTCAGATAAAGAAACGTTTCTCGTCTTTGTCCTCCAACCCCCACCCCTCGTCGGGGACTGCCATGTAACTCTGGTTGCGGTGCCCACATCCAGCACATGACGCAGTGCCAGGCATGACCAAGGTGTCTGTAGCAGCAGCTCTGGCTGTCCACTGTCGCCATTATCGCCGATACTGCCCCTGTGGCTACAGAAGTGTCAGTCCATCGATCACCTTGCTTAAATATTAGGCTTTTCGTAGCTTTCTTACTGCGCTCAGCCTCTCAGGCCCGCGTCCGGAGGAGCCCATCGCTGGCCTTGCCACCCGCCTGCCCGCCTCTTCGCACGGACCCTGCTGTCGCCTCTGCCTGCCCGGCTCCGAGCTCTGATGGGCAAGACAGCAATGACCCCGGCCCCACCGGGCTCACAGCGTGGGAGGTGGCCGGCCTCTGCGCATGCACTCCCTGTCTCCCCGCCACCCCCCCCCCCCCCACCCCCCACCCACCAAGTTCTCTGCGGCTCGCCTGTGCTGGCGCACGTCTTGCCAGCTCTCCATCCTTCCACTCAGCTCTCCAGCAAGCCTTTGCGGAGCACCTGCTGTGTGCTGGCCACAGTGTGGGGCAGTGGGGACCCCAGGGGAACCAGCTCCCAGTCCCTGGCCTCCGGGGCGCAGCGCGTGTGTCCATGGTGTTTGTCTGCGGGCCACGCTTGGACACGCTGTCATGGATTTAGAACTTTGTTTACTCTCAGATGCCCAAACGCACGTCAGATTCTCGCCGTCAGTTGTGGATCAGTCCACCTGCCACCCTTCGAACAGAATTAATTACTCCTCTCCAGCTGCACATGGCCCTGCTTTTGTACTCATTACAGTGACATTCTTTCACTCGGCTTGGTGTTATTCAACAATCAGCCATTTTTATGACATTTGTATAGCAGGCACATGAATAATGCAGAACCCTGGCCTGAAGGAGCTCACAGTCAGCGTGGGAGTCGGACACGGTTATGGGATCGACCAGAATTCTGGCTGCGCAGCCTGAGTCACAGATCTGTGCTTCCTTTGAGTCGCCGTGGTGAATGGACTCACTGGAGTGCCTCCTAGGAAGGCATTGAAATTCATGAATGACGGGACTCCATTCAGCTCGATGCCCCTGTACACGTGGCTGCGGGCTTTCTCGTGCGGTTCAGCACTTGCATGGTTCTGGGGCCCGGCCGCACATGCTTCCAAAGGAGGCCCTTCCTCAGCCCAGCGGTGCGTCTGTGACCAGCCCTCTGGGCGCACGGATGGGAGCTGAGCAAGGTGGGGAGGGCTGAGGCTGGGCTGGCCTCGTCGTGGGGACTCCCACGTGGCCAGCGTGGCCCCGGAGCTTGCGTGCTCGATGGCTCTGCCTCAGGCCTGCCGCCTCTTTTCAGGGCACTCTGTCTCAGCACCTAGTGATGGGTCCCTGTGCCCTCGGGCGGGGGTGGGGTGGTGGCTAAGATTTGCTGCGAGCGGTGGCAGGCCGGATGTGCAGTGGGAAGAGTGGCGTCTGCTGGTCCCGGTGACTCTGACGTCTCTTACTCACTAGCCATTTGACTTTGGCACGTTGTTTAAACTCTCTGGGCTTTGGTTGCCTCTTTTAAACATGGGGAGAATATAGGAGAAAGTGGTACTTCATAGATGGTTATGCTAGTTCAAGGTTTAAGAAAGGGCTGTGGGGGAGGAAGGCGCCCTGTGTTCCCCGAGCCCGCCCTCTCCTGCGCAGGGTCGCCCTGCCTGGCCCGTTAGCACAGGGTGGAGGGCGCTTACCCGAGGCCTTGGGACGAGCGCTCCTCAGCCTGGCACTTCCTTTGCAGACGTCCCAGCACCTGCCACTGTGCACGGCCGCAGCAGAGACAACCCACCGCTGTGGGGCTGCTGATCGAGTTGGCAGAGGTGGGTCTGGGACGCGGCAGCGACACAGCATCCCAGGTGGCTGCTGTCCTTGGCACCAGTGCTGCCTGACCCTGATGCAGGGCACCGCGGACAGCGGCTGCATGGGCTCAGGGCCCCCTCGTGCTCCGGGGCGGGCCGCTGTCCTCAGCGACTCCGCCTCCAGGCCCGATCCACAGGGCGCCTCTCCTTGGACACACACTCGTGGGGGCCGGGGGGCGGGGCGGGTGAGCTTAGACACGGAGGGAGCAGGTACCGTGCGAGCGCGCACGCGCGTGCGTGTATATGAGAATGTGATAGGTGTGCTCGCTTTATTGGGTTGGCCAAAAAGTCTGTTACATTTTTTTCCATAAAATAAAAGACACATTTTTGTTTCTCACCAATGACTTTATTGATTTGGGTATTTTGAGTATGTCGGCTCTCCCGCTATTGGTTTCTAGTGGGGAGAGGCCAGGGGTGCTGCTAAACCTCTTCCAATGCATGAGAGCCCCACAGCAAAGAATCATTTGGCCCAAATGTTAATAGTAGCAAGAAACTTTGTGAACCACTTTTGACACGTGTGATCAACCACAACGCCTTCTCCACATACTGCACAAATCTTTGTTTCATTTGTGTTTTTACCTTTCCTGAAATAAAACATAATATGCTGAAAATGATACATATTTTCTTTCATCTTCAGTATTAAAATGACTGCACAAAAAAACGACCAATTTTGATGGAAAAAAATGCACATTGGTGTGACAGCCATCACAATACACTCTAATACAATTGTTTCGTGTGAAGTTCAAGACAACTAAGGGCTTACCAGAGCCATCATAAGGAAAAAACGGAGCAGACTTCTTGGCCCACCCAACAGAACCTTCCGGAAACACAAAGGCGCTCGCGACTGCCATAGTCCCGCTACTCAGAGACCACTGCCCGCGTGTAGGCGCGACCTCCACCTGCTTTCTGTGTGAATGTTTTTATGCATTTGTAGTTCTGTTGTACCTTCTATTTGGCGTTCTGCTTTGTGCACGTAACTTTTTTCCATCTGCCCCACGTCTGAATCTGAAGTCGTGTCTTGGAATGACCGGTCTACTCTGTCGTGTGCCTGCTGAGTGCTTTCCAAGTGCCCCGGCTGTGCACTGCTGAGGGGAGGGTGCTGACGGCGGCCACCTCGTCCGTGCCCCTCCCTCGTGCCAGCACTGGGCCAGAGTCTTTGCAGAGACCTTTGGCCCCTCATGCTGCCGAGTGTGGGGGTGCAGGGGTGGCCCTGCCAGGGTGAGGAAGCTGGGTCGGGGACTTGGAGGAGCCACCATGCTTGCAGGGCGCTGTTACAAGTGCTTTCATTAACTCACGTGTCCTTCACGATGCCCGTTTCATAGATGAGTGAACTGAGGTGCGTGGGAGTGTAGTAAGTTGCCTAAGGGTGCCCAGCCAGAGCCGAGATGAACACTCAGGCAGGTCTGTTCTCAAGCCGGTGTCTGAGCCAGCGCGGCACCCTGCCCTGGGGCGGTGGGTGGTGAGCCACAGTGGCAGGCTCCGGTCCCGGCCCGTCGCTTGCTGCTGCCGGTGGGCATGTGCAGCCAGGCCCAGAGGGGCGGGGGGGGGGCATCGCCGGGAAGGTGCCCTGGAGTTGGGCTCACTGCCAGCAAGCAGGTCGGGCACCCTCCAGGGTGGGTGCAGGGGTAACTGGGGCCCGGGGTGAAGGAAGGGTGGGGCGGAGCGGGGGCTGGGGACCGGACTGACCTTCCCGAGGCATTTCCGACGTCGGCCTGTGCACCTTGGTTCAGCTCCCGCACCTGTGCTCCCTCCCCTGACCCCTGCCGCCCACCAGGAAGGATCTGGTGGTGGCTGGCTCTGGTGCCTGTGTTTCAGAAATGGCCTGGTGGTATATTTGTAGGCCTTGGTGCCTTCTCCGGTACTGGGCTTTCTAGAAGGCTTGCCAGGGCTGCCCCGGCAGGTGATCGGACAGTTCGAGGACGTGCTAGCGCGCCAGCGTTCCTGGGGCTGTGGGCCCTGCGCCTCCGGTGAATGGGGCCCAAGTGCCTTTTTACTGACGGTGCATTTGTTTTTTTCGTGTGCTATATGTACATGTTGCTGTATGTACTATGGAAAATACTGGCTGTGGAGAACTCGGCTGAACCCCGACTGGCTCTACCAGAGCAAAGAGGGCACTGGTGTGGTTGGCGAGAGAGAGGAGGCCGCTCAGGAGCAGCAAAGGTGGCTTGGCTCCCAGCTCAGTGCCTCGTGTAGTCTCTGCGCCGCGCTCATAGGCGGCTGCCTCCCGCACCCAGGACTCTGGGGCTTTCTGGATGCTTTGAACTCTTACACTGAAATTGTTTGCATTTTTCTTGGCTTTTTGAGAATGTGTCAGAATCTTCTAGGGGGATGAGTAAGCCTCGTGTTGCTTCAGTTACATCATCATCATCACTGCCATGGTTATTCTCGTTGCAGAAAAACTGTACGGCGACTTCTTGAGCTGGAAGCTAGAAGAAACCCTGGCCCAGTTCCCTCTGCAACCTGGAAAGGTGGCCACTTTCACTGTCGACATCAAAGTGAAGCTGGATTTCTCCTGCCAGGAGAACCTCCTCCAAGACCTCAGCGACGGTAAGCTGGCCCCAGTTTTAATTAGGGCGTGTGCTCCTAGGCACCCTGCGGCCGTCACCGCCACACCTGCTGCCTGCGGCCCCACTCTGCCTGCTCTTCTTTGGCTTGGGCTGCTCGGGACGGCTCCTGGCCCTTCGCGGCCCGAGTGAGTCCCGGTGTGCGCCCGAGAGTGATGCGGTGCTGCTTAGTCGAGCGCTACTTCATCCGCGCTCGTTGCTGTTCTGCGCTCGTTTGCCAGGAGGTCAGCCTAAACTGGTGGGATGAGGGAATGGCTACATTTTTCAAGTGTACCTCCTGTGATCTAATTAGTGGTGATGATAAAGTTCTCCTTCAGAGTCTGGGGATTTCCATAAGGCATTGGCGTCTGGAGAGAATGGGGATTTATGCTTAGGAACAGCTGGTTACAGATAAGATTTCCTGGATTAATTATGTCAGGTTATGAAGTGTGCACCCAAGTGCATTTGGAGGCATCGGGGGTGCATGGTCCGCTCAGGCTGCCGTGACCAAAGGCCGCACGCAGCATGGCTTCGCAGCAGGAGTTTATCTCCCATGGTTCTGGAGGCAGCAGTCAGAGAGCAGGGGCCAGCAGGGCTGGCTCCGGCGAGGCCTCGCGAGGGGCGGCAGGCACAGAGCCCTGACCGTCACGGACGAGGGCTTACCTCCGGGGACTAGGTGTCTCCCTCCCTCCCTTCCTCTCTGGAGGCTGAACTCGCTCTCCCCGCTGGCCTAGCCCTGCCCTGCCTGCGCGCTTAGGAAGGGGTGCTGTCAGGTTGAACTTGAGAGAGGAGGTAAGTCACGGCGCCGTTCCCTGTGATGGGGATTTCCGCCTGGGCCCCCGTCTGGCGGCCCCCGGCCCCCGGCCGCCTGTCCCCGGAGCGCGCCCAGCCTGGCCCGCCCGGGCCTTTGCGCTCGCACTCCTCGCACTCGGGCTGCTGTCCCTGCAGTTCCGCAGGACTCAGGCCTGATCGCTCAGGTCTCTGCTCAGATGTCCCTGCGGCAGATGGGCCGTTCCCCTCCCCCACTGTCCTCATCGTGCTGCCAGCGTTTCTCACGCCGTGGCACTTGTTCCCTGGAAGTGTCCTGGTGGGTTTTTCCTGTCCACCTACCCCATCCTATAGACGCCAAGTGTCAGGGGAACAGGGACCCCTCTGTCTTCCTCTGTCCACAGTCACACTCCCAGGACTGCGGTGGCAAAGAGCAGCTGTGCAGTTACAGAAAGGATGAGTGGGGGGCGCCTCTGCCCCTCCTGTCCTCTCAGCGGGGGCTCCACCCCCGTGACCGCAGGGACACGCGGGGACCCACGGCCCCACCCCCGGCGCAGCCCACCGGGCTTAGGGCCACGGCGCACTCTTGAGCCCTGCCCCCTGTGCCCTTTGTAGCGGTTCTGAATACCCCACACAGGGCTCCTTGATAACTCTGACGCCTAAGAAGTTTTATATCATTAACAAAGGTAGGAAAACAAGTTTATGGTCAGACACGTGAGAAACTGAAAATGTCAAGTGGGTTTAACATTATACCTCCAAAGGTGTCAGATGAAGAGCGTTCCTCTCCGGTGCGGACCACTTTGTGCTGCTGGCCTGTGTCGCGCTACGAGGGACGGCGGGCTGCGAGGGGCTGACTTTCCTTTTCCCAGGAGAGAGTTGGAGGAAACGTGGCACCTGCCCCACGACGGGAGTGCGGAAGACCTGCTCTCTCGGGGCGGGGCGGAGCGGGGCGGGGGGCGCTATCCTGGAAGCAGACATCCAGCTGCACGCCAGGCCGGGAGAGGCTGCAAGGGGCTGCGAGGAGTGAGGGGAGGGGCCGTGACGTTGCTGCGGGGCCTCTGTGGCTCGTTATTCCCGAGGGCGGAACAGAGGGCTCCAAGGAGGCACTGTTTTTTGTTTTGGTTTGTTCGGTGTTTGGTTATGTTCTTGTGTTCCTGCCTTCTCTTACACAGCCCTGGAGCCTTCTCTCTGCCCCTCTGAACTGGAAGGAAAATTGCATTTTGGGATTTGTAGTCTGGGAAACACTTTGTCTCTTAAAATACAACCAAATTGCAAGGCATTAGAATGATGGTGGCCAGGCGGTCCGTGAACGTAAGGCTGGCCTCACTTCTGGTCAGACACAGCCCGTGTGTGCCAGAGACCGTGCCTGTTAGCAACCGGAGTCCTCTTTGCTGATTGTGGTTAACAGACACACTGGTTGCTCGTTTATGTCGCAAACTGCAGAATTCCAGACTCAGAGTCTTACTCCCCACAGCCAGGGCAAGCTGTAGAGAGGAAAACGGTGGGCCCGAGGCCCACAGGACCCCTCAGGGCCTGGCCCATGGCCGAGGCGTGGCCACGTGCAGTGCCATCGAGGAATGGTGAGGCCTGCATAGCTGCTGTTTGCGGACAGCGGTGCACTCAGGGGCAGAGGCTCATCGCCGGCCCCGTGGACTGGGAGGGAACTCAGCGTGGCCTCCATCTGACAGTCTCAGGGCACCCACCGCGGACCACTGCAGGCCCGCCTGTTTTCTGGGCATGGGCCCACTTAGCTGTGGTGTCTGAAGTCAGGGGCCACGCTTTACACGCACGGCGCCACCCACAGCTGGGCTGCACGCTGGGCCGTGGGCCCGTGCGTCTGCAGACAGACAGAAGGCGGATAGTGCTGATGGCACTGTCACGGTATTTGCATTCTTTCTGTGCAGCCTTCCCAACAACTCTGTGAAGTAGGTGATTTTACAAAATGATCCCCATTTTGTAACGACAGGTGGGAGGACTGTTCTGGAGTGAAGGAGATTGAGGAGGCCATGTGATCAGACGCTGCACGCAGGAGGCAGCCTGGGTTTCAGTGAGACTGGGGTGTTTCTCTGCGCGAGGGGAGGGGAGGGGAAGAAGACAGGTGCCTGTCCTGGCTGCTCGCCCTGTCCGGCCCACTGCTAGGGCCCCCCAGGTGCTTGCTGCGACCTCTCCCTGGAGCCCGGAGAGGGATTGGACGGCCGCCTCTCGCGGGGCGCTCCTTCTGGCCAGCCTGCCGGGGCCTTGTGCCCTCGGCTGCCATCGGGCCTGGCTGCTACGATGTGGCTGAGCCTCTGGTCTTTCTCAGGGCACGGCTCCCACCTTGAGCACAGGGCTGGCGGCTCCCAGCTCCAGCTCCTGGCCTTGCACCCAGAGGTCGGCGCCCCCGCCCCCTGTACTGCAGGCGGCTCTTGGCCCGTTTGACTTGCGGTGGGTTCTTTCCCTCTCAGCTGTTAGGACTCCGGGCACAACCCCCCTCCTCTTTCAGGGTGCGCCGCCTCTGAAGACCTTGCCGTCTGCTTAGGGGGCACCCACCCCGGCCAGACCATCTCTCTGCGCCCTGGGGCCATGTGCCCAACGGCCTGTCCCGTGGCTCTCGAGGGTGGGGGCGGTGGAGTCGTGGTCCTGGCCACGGCAGGTCCCCATCGGCTCCCTCCTCCTGCTTCAGTCTCCGCACTCTGACCCCTCCCGCCCGCACCAGCCAGCGTCCTCACGGTCCTCCTCTGCCTCCCCCAGCGGCGAGCTCGCCGGTGGTGGGGAGGCCTGTGTGACGCGGGCCGCAGCCTTAGGCCGCGCACGAGCATTCCCGGCCGAGTCTTCCCACCGGCCTCCGTGAGGTCCGCGGAGGCCCTCGGGGGAACTGCTGGGCCCTGCTCTCCCCAGGGTGCCTGTCGGCCGCCTTCAGGTGGGTCCTCCCGGAGGCCTCAGCCCTCTGATGGGTCCAGGGAACGGTCGCTCTCAGCTCATCTGCTTGTCCTCGCCTTCAGGGCGGGTGCTGTGCCCCGTCAGGCAGCCCGCTCCTCGGCTGCAGTCAGAGGTCGTCCTCCATGTTTAACCCAGACCTGCTGCCATCTTTGCATCGTGTTGGCCGTTTGCTGGGTGATGCACGGCTTTCGTTCAGAAGGAAAAGGTTCAAGGTGCCCGGGCCAGCCTGTCTGTTGTTATGTTTGGCCGTCACCCCCAGCCCTCAGAGTCACGGCGGCTGAGGGGAAGGTCGCTGCCCCTGTGCCCCCGGAGCCCTCAGGGCACCCCTGGAGGGAGCCAGGAGGCGCCCCCTTCCCCTGCGCTCAGTTCCTGCCCAGACGGCTCTCCAGGAACTGGAGGTGTCTGTCCTCAGCCACCATTAGCCTGCAGGTGGGAATAGTGACTCAGTCCTTTGCTTTAAATCAGGTGGGAAAGTAACTTCCTAAACCACCAGTAGAGAATGGAAACCCTGGCGTTTGCCACTTGAGGGCAGCAGGGGACGGTGTCGTGGGAGCCGCTCTTGTCCCTGCCGCCCCACCCTGCCGCGGGGTCACGAGGAACCGGACTGGCGGGCGCTCTGAGAGGAGGGGGCGGTGTCTGAGGGCCATTGTGGGCCAGCCGGCTGGCTGCTTGCGCTGCGGAGAGTGCCAGGCCCGCCAGCCGTCCGGTGCGCGTTTACAGCCCTCCTCTCCGCGCAGCGCGGCCGGCCGTCTTCAGTCTTCCCCGGGTTCGTCGTCCTCGGCTGGGTCTCCACGCTGCCCCCTTGTCCCCTGCAGCCTCCTTCCAAAGGAGGACCCCAAGTGCCCCTCCGCTCTGATCCAGCTGCACTGCCCCCAGGGGGAGCCCCCCGTGTGGCCTGGCTCTGTGCACCCGCTCAGACTCATTGCCCACCCTCCTCCCACATTTGGTTTGTACTCCAGAAATACCAAATTACTTGTATTTTTCTTTTTTCCCTAATGCAAAATGTTTAATAGGTTTCAAGTATACAGTTATTAGAATTATCTCAGTATCACTTAAGAATCAGCGCTCATATTAGATGATTCTATAAAATAATCACACATCGACAATAGCCCCTGCAGTCCAAGAATACCCCCATCGATAGCACAAATTACAAACACCTTAAAAAAGACATTGTTTGGACATTTAAACCACAGTAACTTTGACTAAATGCATTCATTTGTCAAATATTAATACAGTAAACCCAGCATGCTCGCTAATAACACAGTTTCAGGTGTGATTTCACCTGCTCTCCTCAACCTGACCGCCCGCCTCCCGCGGGAAGCGACTCCGTGCTCTGTCGTTGCCACGGACGTGCAGGCGCATCAACCTAAGGCCGTCCCACGTCCTCGTTAAGCTGGCTGACCTGGACTGTGAGTGAACACCAGGCCGTGGGGAGGCCCAGTGACGGCGGCGTTTGCTGAGGGACTTGTGTTTTTCTGATTTGCTGTGCCCTCGCTGCTGCGCCCCCCTGAGTGCAGACCGGCGGCCCTCGAGCTTCCCTGCTCCTGGGGACCACCTGGGATGGCGGACGCCTCTGCCCAGCTCCCAGTTCTAGATGCCGGGACTCAGGAAGCGTGGGAGGGGGCCTGGGCGTCAGGGCTTTGGGGGGGTTCTTCGGCGCAGCCAGGCAGGGGACCACGGCTGCCAGGCGTCTTTGCTCTCCCGGCCTGTCTTGAGGAACCCATGGTCACTCCTTTTTCGCACAAAAACGGACACATTCCCTGGGTAGAGGCGTCTCCGGAGAAGGACGCTGCGCCTTGGAGGGGCCTTGTGTAGGTGAGTGTCTGCCAGGTGCCCTGCGGAGCGGCCTGGCCGGCGCACTTTGTGGAGGCTCCGTGAGGACTGAAATGTGCCCTTGGTCCCAGTCCCCGTGGGCAGGCGCAGCCCCGGCAGCCCTGAGCTCTCCTGCGGGCAGTGCCTCTGCTGGCCTGTGCAGCCTGCGCACCTCCCCGGCGTCGCAGCCTCCTCTCCCGTGCACTTGGTAGCAAAATGCCTGCCTCGCGGGGCACGAGGACCCGCTAGCTGGCCCGCACCGAGCGCCAGGGCTGTGCTGGGCGTGTAGTAAACACTCCGCGGCCACCCCCTCCCCGCAGAGCTGTTTCTAGTGTGACTGCTTTCCCTCCGACCGCACAGCCCCTCTCAGCTGTCGCTATCCCGCTCCCCGCCGGGGCTGTGCTGTAGCTGAGTTCGAGAGAGAAGCATTATTGTAGCATCCAAAATTATATTTCTGAGTGGCCCACAAAGATGCTCTTAATAGAAGATGGAGCACTACACACAGCAACTAGGGAACGCCCCCCACAGCTCAGCGTGGCTCCTGGTGCTCCCCGGACCCCGCCGCGCCTGAACCCCGCCCCACGAGCCCCCGCCACTGCCGCCCGCCTCCCGGGCGCCCTCCTCTGCTTGTGCTCTCCAGTCTTGTTTTCCTGGTCGTGGTCGTTCCAGTCTGTCCTCCGTTCTGGTGGTGGTGGGCTGTGCTGGTGGGAAAACCGGCCAAAGGATTGGATTCGCCCCCGCCCCCAGCTGGGGAGCATGTCCGCTCAGGCGCCGAGACTGGCTGCTTCGCTCCGGTTCCGCTCGCCCCCCCCTGCCGCCAGCCCTCGCGTGGGTCGAGGGCTCATATTCCACCCTCCAGAGGCTGGGGCTGTCCCCTGTTACAGTGCACGACGTGGTACCTGTCGTTCCCACTTCCGGGGGCCTGGGCAGCAGATTCCGTAGTCTGGCGATTTTTAACCGGTGTGCCCAAGAATTTCAGAGAACGTGCTGATTGTTTTAGTCGGGGGCACTGACGCTTCCTTCCGGGATTGTCAAATGAAAACATGGCAACAGCAGCACAACAGTAGCTGGCTGGTGGGAATGAATCAGACTTATGGCTCTGTTTTTGTCAGATCAGCAGAACACACAGTGTATTTTTTGGTGTGCCACAGAATTTCAGCAACCAGTTTATGTGTGCCATGAAATGGGAAAGGTTGAAACCTCTGCTTTATTCTATAAAAAAGCTGTAGCGTGGCTTTTTAAAAGTTTTTCTGAGTTGGAAGATTACAGGTTTTTGTGCTGAGGTTTCAAGGTCTGTGCCCCAGAAGGAGGCAAATTTCAGATAAAATTTTTGGCCTTTTTTGCACTGTGGCCAGTTTCCATTGATTCCCTAGCGTTGGTTCCCATTTTACAGCCAGAAAACCGAGGCCCGCAGGGCTGTGTGGCTTGCCAGAAGTCCCCTGCTGCAGCAGGCAGGGCGGCTGCGGGAAGGCCAAGCATTCAAGGAGGACTCCCACTACTCCCCAGACCCGTAGACAGAACCTCCTAGAAAGACCTCCTGTGTCTTCTGTCTGTCCCTTGGACCAGCCCTGGCCATGGCTGGATTAGGGCCGCCCTCACCCGCCAGGGCCTCGTGGGGCAGAGGAGGAGCTGCCCTGGCCGCGGGGGTGCAGGGCAGCCGGCAGTGGCCGTCCCCACACCGCCCTGCGCCTGACTGCAGTGCTGCGGCGCCCTGGCCTGAGCGGCGCCTGCAGTGCTACTGTGGGCGTAAAATGGCATTGGCACTTCCAAGGCGGAACGTCCCCTGGGAGGCAGCGTGGCTGTGCCGTGTGCTAGTGATGGGCACGTTCCCCAGGGAAGAGCAGCAGAGCTGTGTCCCCAGGCCATGGTGGTAGGTGGCGTTAAAATCCCTCTGGGCCCCTGGCTCTAACTGGCAGGGGATGACCGGGTCTGAGGGCCAGTCTCCGGCCCTGCGTGCCGTGCTCACTGCAGGCTCCGCCCGACCTGGTTCTGGGCGACGCGCCGAACAGGGCAGCCGTTCCGCTTTGCAGACGGCTGTGTGACTCTCACCGGCTCCTCATGGCGGGCGCTGTGGGCGCGGCAGTGATCGCACAGGCGGTGCCTGCATTGCCCGCGGTGCCGCGAGAGTTGAGGGGGGAGAGAACTCGGGCAAGCCGAGTGGCTCTGACCGCTGGGTCGGGTGTTTGCAGGCAGGTTTCACACAGAGACACCGGCCAAAACTCCGTTGACCTGGGGCCTGCTGTTGGGTGGGGCTTTGGGGTGACGGAGTTGCTGATCGTGGTGTATAAACTAAGTATCAAGAGTTGACCCTGCGACTCATTAACTCACGTACTGTCTCCTGAGGGTCCGTGATCTGCTGGAACCGTGCCAGCTGCTGTTGGGGATGCAGAAGTGAAAGTGACAGGAAGTGTTTTCTTGGAGTTTACAGTCATGTAAGGAATCTAAGGCGTGCGTGAGTTGCTGTGATAACAACAATAGCGGTTTTTGTTGAATGCTTGCAAGGGGTTACAATACATACTTCATATGCAATAACTAATTTACTCTTCCAGATAATTCTGCAGTTTGTGTGTTGTGGTTGTTCCCACTTTAGGGATGAGGAACTTAAAGCTCAAAGAGGTTAAGTCACTTAGCTAAGGCCGTTTAGCCAGGCGGGGGAGCGGCTGGGAACCAGGCCCCTGGCTGGTCTGTTCCCCTGGCCCCAGCCCCGGCCCCCTGCCTGTCTTCCTGGATACAGGCCGCACTCAGGGTGCTGGTCTCAGGGTGATAAGGTGTGGGGGGCGTCACAGAAGAGGATGGGTGTGACCTGTGGGGAAAACGCTGGGCAGAAGGGGTGCTGGAGCCCGGGACAGGACAGATGCGGTCCCGAGCCGGGCCCCGGGCCCCGGGCCCTGGTCCCTGCGAGGCTGCCCTTCTCTCGGTGCACCGTCCTCTGGGTCCCCCCGAAGCTCCTGGCACTCAGCCCCGCATTTCCTTGGGGGACACCAGGGCCAGTGTTCCCCACCTGTGAACAGGTCAGAGGCCCTGCGCGCGCACTCAACCTCTTGGTCAACACTTCGGGGTCCACAGGCATCTCGGGGAGGTCCGTGTCGGCGGCATCTCTCGGCTCGCCGTTTCTCCGCAGCAGGCGCGACCGCGCCTCATGGGGCTTCCGCCGGCAGTGGCGATGGACATGGAGCCGGAAGGAGAGGCTGCAGGCTCTTTCCAGTCACCCTTTCTTTTTGAACAACTCTCCTACGTTAAAAACCCCAACCACGCGTTTCCTCACGCCCTCTGTTCTCACCTTCCAGATGGGATCAGTGTGAGCGGCTTCCCGCTGTGCAGTCCCTTCCGACAGGTCGTTCGGCCGCGCGTGGAGAGCAAACCCGCGAATCCGCCTGAGGGCAGCAAGCCCGGGGACCCGAGCCACGTGAAGGTGAGTCGGTCCCCTGCGTGCCGCCAGCCACGTGGCTTGACGCTCGTGGTTCCTGCCGGCCTTTTTGGGGGCAGCTTGGGCGTTGTGCAGAAGGGAAACGGACGCACGTTTGATGGCCGAGTCCCGTGTGTGGGCGGCCGGCACCGTGCTTTGGGGAGCAGCCCGTCCGAGGCCCGAGGGGCCACATATCAGGAGGGAGGCGTGTCCCGGTGTCGCTGCCTCTTTTTCCCATGAAGTCTCGGGAGTGTGTGGGTCAGTCGAGGTGTGCGCTGATGGGAGTGGAATATTTTCTTCCTCTTTCTTCATTTGAAAAACGTATTTATTAGATTATTATCCTCTGTTGAGATGTTTGTCCCATAAACTTTCCCTACTCCTTCGACAACTCCTTCCATTCACTGGTTTATAAACGCTCGGGAAGCCAGAGGATGCGCAGCATCAGGTGGGTATCGGTGCGAAGCGGAGGTGCCGGGGCTTCCGGGTGAGCGGAGGCGGTTGTGTCCGCAGAGCTCCAGGGTGTCTGAACCTGAGCTGTGGGCCTCGGTCATCGGCGGGGAAGGCTCTGCCGTCTGAGCTGCCTGGGGACCCTGCAGAGGAAGGGGACTGAGGCCGGAGCAGCTGGCAGCAGGGGCAGGCAGCGCCTTATGCTGTTGGGCCAGGCATTTGGGGCGCTGCTCACGGCCGTGGTGCCCGCCCTGCGGGGCAGTGGCTGGTGAGGCCAGCCTGCGGGCCGGGGCCAAGCCGGCGCTGAGCCCCTGGTTTGCAGGAGTTGGGGCTGCGCGGCAGGGGGACAGGGACGCTGTCGGAGGTGTGGTCATGGCCGGAAGGAACAAGCTGCTGTTGATGGGCAGAGGTCACACTGAAGTTACAAGGAGCTGGGTTTTAGGGGCGAGTCTTCTCCGTTTGGGGCCCTGCAGTGATGAGGTGGGTGGAGCAGCGGGGCGCTCTCCACCCCGGGAGTGTTCACCCTCAACTTGGCCCCCGCGGAAGGTCTTGTGTTGGCCCAGGGGACGCGCATATGGGAGACCCCTCCACCAGAAGGCAGAGGCGTGCCTAAGGGCGCCAGCACGGTGCTGCGCGGCGGCCGACGCCGGGGGCGGGGGTCTGTGGCAGGGAGCAAGGGTGGATGAGCTGGAGGAGCGACATCCGCACAGTGCCCTTGGGTGTCAGGCCACCTGCAGTGCCGAGAACCGCCCGCCGTGTTGCTGCGCGTTCCCGGTCACCCCTGCGCCTCAGCCCCCCCGGCGGCCTGCTCCCCCGGGCCAGCTCCTCGGCCCCGGGCCAGGCTTCACAGTCCGGCACGTCTTCACTCCTGCTCGGCTGGGCCGTGGTGGCTGCGGGGTGAATTTCTTCCACTGGGAGCTGCATGGTGAACTCTTAAACAGATGGTTATAAATGTGTGTCGACACAGGTGAATGTTTGTAAATGTATTTAAGCGTGGCCCCCGCTGGCTGAGTACGTCCTGGGTGTTGGGCGCTTGTACATAAATTGCTGTTCCAAGTCTTCATGACAGCTTTCTCAGTAGGTGGACTTCTCCCCCTGTGTGAGGGCGCCCAGGCTCCGGGAGGGGACGCGATGCGACCTGAGTCCCTCCGTTCCTGTCCCTTGCACGGTGACACCTCTCTCCCCCACTGCTGTCCTGTGTTTTGCTTGTGCACAGAGTCCCAGAGCCCCTTGCTCTCTCCGTCCTGCGTTCGAGGCCTTTGGTTTGTCCCGCTGGCGGGGCAGGTCCTCGGGTCTCTCTGTCCCAGTGTCTGGCTGTGCCGTCAGCCACACCGACACTCGTGCCGCTCTCCTCACGGCCCTGGGTCCCTCCTGACGCGTGACTTACCGAGACGCCTGGAGGGAGAGGCGCCGACATTTACGGAGTGTGCCCTGCTGGCCGGGGCTGTGCTCAGTGCCTTGTGTCACTGGCACGGCTTCCCCTTTTCTGCAAATGTCTCGCCAGGGGAGCGGGGCAAGGGAATGCAGGGTGGAATCGGGTTCCTCCTAAGCTCGCACTGGGAAGGGGTCCCGTAGCCAGGCCCCGAGCAGGGCGTGGCTGGGGAGGGACGCCCTGCCCCGAAGGCCCGAAGGCACGAGGCGGGGGCGGCTCAGCTCTGTCTGCGCGGGGCCTGTTGTTGGTTGGGGGGGGCGGTGCACAGCTGAAGGGCCGCCCCTGTCTCCCGGCGCGGGACCTGTCCGCTGCGGGGTTCTCTGAGGAGCGGTGCGGAGCTGCGTGGGCGGGGGCTCGCCGTCCTGCGGTGGGGCCCTGTCCAGCTTGGTACCTAGCCCTTCTCCCCCAAACAGGAACGATGCGTTTTAGTGGGAAATGTGCTCGGTCAGGAGGGGCATTGCCACGGACCCGAGCGACGCGGTGAGGCAGCTCTGGGGAGGCCCCTTAGGGCTGGGAGGGGTGCGCGTTTCCTCCGGGTTCCCAGGGAGGCGCCCTCCCTGCCCGGCCGGCACTGGGCTCCTCTGTCCGCGGTCAAGGACGGCTCTTCCGCACACCACGGGGAGGCTCCTGGGACTGGACACAGGGGCCGCGTGGAGTGGACGCGTGTTAGAAATGGCCCTCCTGGGAGCCAGGCTCCGCAGCGCGGCCGCCCCGCCCCTCAGCTCCCCCTCGGGACACGGGAGTGAGGGTGCTTTCTTCACGGGCGTGTTGGGCTTCCTCAGAGAAAGGCGCAGGCGATCTGAATAGCCCCATAGCCAGTGAGAGAATAGAAATTTTTTCTTAAAACCTTCCCATAGCGAAAATTCCCAGCCCGGATGTTTTCACTTACGGCTTTTATGAAGCACTTAGGAGAAGAGTAATATGAATTTTGTGTAAACTCTTCTTTCTGGAACCCTGCAAGAGCGAGCACTTGGAATCATCCTGCGAGGCCGTGCTGCGCTGCTCCGGAGGGCGGGGAGCTTACGAAGATACCGGGCGCGCCACAGCCCTTTGTCACGTCCTGGTCAGCGGTGGCACGTCCTGGTCAGCGGTGGCACGTCCTGGTCAGCGGTGCGTCGAATAGTGACCAGCGGGGTTTACCTGTGGAGTGACCGCAAGGGCGGTTTTGACATTAGAAACACAACAAACGTAATTCTCGTGTCCGTGGACTGGAAAGGGAAACTAGGTGTCTCAGTAACTGATGCAGAACAAGCACCGGCGGCGAGCAGCCTGTGCCCAGGAGAGCCTGCACGGCGTAGGAACGGGGGGGACCCCGTGGGCCCGCAGCCCCCGGCAGCCCCCACTGCCCCCAGCGGTGCGGCGCCGACAGCTCCCCCGGGGGCAGCCACGCCGGGCTCTGCACCTGTGCCGGCGTCCCTGCCTGGGCCCCCCGGCACGCGCCCCGGTCCTCGGGCCAAGCTCCAATGCCCCCCCGTCTGCCAGGGCTTCACAGGAGGCCCGGGCAGCGCCAGGCACGCCTCCCTGCACCCCCAGCCCGCTCTGCACTCCCACCGCCACGGTCTCTCTGGCCTCTGTCTCGTGTTGCCGTCACTTCCTCGCGGCTGCGGCCGGCCCTGCTGAGCCTGCAGTGAATGTCCGGGCCCCGGCGCTCCCGGTGCTCCTGGTAGCCAGTGAAGCAGCCCCCGTCCACGGGGCTCTCTGAGCCTGGCGTGCCGCTCGTCGCCGGTGAGGCACAGCTGGGCAGGAAAGTGAGAGCCCCACTTGGAGTGAAGTCGAACGTGAGCATTGCCCGGGTGATGCCTTAGCTCATGCTAAATACTTGGTGCTACTTTAGACTTCACGCTGAGGGACTGTGGGATGCTCCTGAGGTTCTCGTGTGCGTTCACACTTCAGCAATTGCATTTACAAATGGAGTGACTGGAAGAACCTGTTAAGAAAAGAGCAAATGTAATCAAGTTTAAAAAAGCTGTTATGCAAAAAATGGCCTAATCCTTTAACTGTGTCACACGTGAAAAATGTTTCCATAGGCCCTTTGGGGTCTGGGCAGCAGAATTAAGGCCCCCCTTGGCTGGAGGAGTGGTGAAATGCATCGGGAGTAACGTGTTCGGCCGCTTGCTCGCTGCTTGTTCACACGCAGGACAGCGAGCGGCTGTATGTGCCCAGGCCGGGGCGGTGGGGGCCCGCGGGCGACAGGCTCAGCGCTTCTCGCGGCCTCTCCCGCTTGCTGCGCCCAGGGCTGCGGCTTTCTGTTATTCAAGTGGAAATTATTGAGCAGCTCAGAAAGATCGAACAGCATGCCCAAGGTCAAGCGGTTACTAAGTAGAAGTTAAAATTCAAACCCAGATATGTCTAAATCCAAAGCTAGTGCTATTTATAAGTTTCCAAACTTATTATGGGGTACAAAACATTCTGTATTGATTTAAGCTGTATTTATAGAGCAGCGAGTGTAAGCTCTCTCGCCTACCTGACCCTCAGTTTTCAATCTGTAAAATGCAGATAATAGGACTTCTTCTGGGGCTATAATAAGGAGGAAAGTGTCTGCTATTAGCCCTGGTAGATAAGAAAAGCTTAGAAAATGGCAAATCCACTTCAGTTCCAAATGATTTCTAATCTGTCCCAGTAATAGTTACAGAGACGGGGAAGTTCTTTCTACAAACTTTAAGCATAAAAACTTCAACAGAATCCTTTAATCTGTTTAGCAGTTTCAAAATTTCATAAGGAACCCAGCAGTAAGAAGAGGAGTTTGCTGCGTGGGGAGTTCTTGAGCCGGTGCTAAGGGGAGAGGTCGCGGGAATGTCCCTGAGGTCCCGTGACCCTTTCAGGGCTTCCGCCTTTCGTGGTGGTCTTTGTCCCCCGGGCCCTGTGACGCTGCCTTCCCTGCGTCCATTCAGCTAATACGGGGTTGGCCAAACAGTCCGGCTAGTTTTTTCCATAAAATAAAAGACACATTTTTTCATTTTCAGGAATAACTTTATTGATTTGGGTATTTTGAATATGTTGCTTACTTCCCACGGTTGGCGTCTAGTGGGTGGAGGCCAGGGGCGCTGCTGGATCTCTTCCAATGCATAAGACAGCCCCACAGCAAAGAATTATTTGGCCCAAACGTCAATAGTAGCAAGAAACTTCT